AGGGCTTCAAACCCAGGTTTTTCATGCTCTTATAAAACCCTGGCTGCTTGTGGTAAGCAAATGTCACTGCATAAGCATTTGGCTGAAGCAAACTTTCTTAGCAAATTTGGTTGGTAATATTTTTTGATTGATAGTTTGATGAGCCCTGTCTTAAGGGCTGATTACCATGGCCTATGGTTGCATCCTTTTTTACAGAGATGCTGTTTATGACCTTGTTTTCATTCATACTTCAATCCATTTGAATCTGGAACTTTTAAAGAGAAGGACTTGTGCCTTTAAAAGTCATGGGAAAATAACAATTTGCCCTTTCTTTTTTATTTTTTTTTAAATTACAGTTTATTGGAGTGACAGCTTTTAGCAAAGTTACATAGATTTCAGGAGTACAATTCTGTAATATGTCATCTATATATTACATTGTGTGTTCAAATATATGGTGATGGAAAGAGAACTGACTCTGGGTGGTGAACAGTTTGCCCCTTCTAATACAAAGGAATCGACATGCTAGAAAGTCAACCCCAATTATTATCTCAGCTCCTCCACTAACATTTATGTGAACTTGGACTGGTTACTTGTCTTCTTTGGGCCTTGGTTTACTTATGTGTAAATTGGGGATAATGCGCCCTATCACATAGAAGCAATGAAAAAGAGATAAATATATGTTTACAGCACTCAATAAAGATGAGTTCCATTCCTAAATTCAGGATATGTAAATTATTGGGATGATCTCAAAGAGGGTTGAGGGCTCCCTTGCCCCCACCCTAACTTGTTATCCACTCAGCTTGTACATCTTTGGAATTAGGACTGTCCATCCTGTTCTTTCTGTAACTAGTATAGTACTCAGTGCATAGTAAGAGCTGAATAAGTATGTATTATTTTGTACGTTGTTGATTTGTTAATAACTTTTCCAATGTTAAGAGACATAGTCCTTAGAACAAGACAACCTCTCAGGATACCCTGAACCCTCTCATTGCCAGACAGTCTCCCTCTTGCATTCCTATGGCTTGCTGAACCTCACTGAACATAAGAGGAAGGCATTGAAATGTCTCTGAAACGTTTCCAGAGACGAAATATTTAGAAAACTAAATTGTGACTCTATCTGCTTTCACACAGATTTTTTTGTGGATAATATTTTTCATGGGCCTTCAGTTATGATAAATGTGTACATCTGATCAACAAATACTCATTAAGTGACTCTTCCATGCTGGGCACTTACCTAGGCCCTGGGTATACAGAGGAAAATAAATTTCCTCCAACCCTAACCACCAGTCTTGTGGAGAAGACAGAAGGAACCAAAAATTGCCACAAAGCAAGGTCTCATGCAAAATTCTTTCGCAATGCTGAGGACCGTATTAGCTACTGCATTACTCAGGGTGGGTTCAAATATGCTGGGTAACAAACAGCCCCCAAATCTCAGAGGCTAAGAAGAACAAAAATGTTCATTTTTACTTACACTACAGGTACAAAATGTGAGTATCGGGGGGTGGGATTCTTGTATCAGACACTTGGGGATCCCAGCTGATGGAAGATTCATGCCGACATATGTTTCCATGAATGCTTAGACAAGAACATTCTAGACAATGGATCAGGCACTGGCTTTTAAAGTCTGCCTGGGAATCTGACACGTGTCATTTTGCTCACATTTCATTAACCAAAGCAAGCTGCCTGACCCCACCTAACCTTGAAGGGGACCCAGAAGTGTACTCCTTCAGGTCTCAGAAACAAGGAGAAATGGGATATTTGTGAACAGCTCAAGTGGCCACCCAAGTTGGAACCCAGTTGTTAGGAAGTTTACTGGAGTGTCCCTCCCAATGCCATTTCTCAGCTAGTAATTCTGTCTTGTGTTTATACAAAAACCATCTCCTGGGAGGAAGGCCGTCTGAATTCATTCACACTTGTATTCACTTGGTATTTATCATTCCCTTTCATGGACCCTGGCCTGGTGGGCACTGGCCATAGAGAGAAAAATGGCCGAGTTCTTGTCCTCAGGGAACTCTCAGTATAGTTGTGTTGAAGGTACACACACACACACAATGAATGACTGCAGTTTGGTTGGAATATCATCTGTTGGGTACTCGCACAGTACAAGACGGCCACAAAAAGAGCCAGGAAGATTCCATGGGAGGCTAGTACCACACCTGGCTGGCAGGGTTTTCCCAAAATTCATGCAGGGGGAGAGGGAGCAGCAGGCTTTATGGGAGGAGGTGGATCACCAGGACAGATAAAAGTGTCTGAAACAAAACTGGAGTCACCCATCACTACAGAGGAGGAGCTGGGCAGTGTCAGCACCCCAGATTCTTGGGGCAATCCCCATGAGGCCAATCAATCAAGGGCACTAGGTATTTTGGTATGAAAGACCCCTGGGATGAGAGGTCAGCATCCTGACAATTGCTGAGGCTCAGATTCCTTCTGCTCCATGCTAAGGGAGCTAGGCTTTAAGAAGCATTGATCTTTACCGTGGGCTGCTCCATTTGATCAGTATGAAATTACTATGTCTAAAGATCTAAAGATGCCATGAATGTCCATGCTGCAGCTTTTTTTTTTCAAACAAAACAGAAAACACTCTCCATCCCCCAGCAAACCTCCATTTAGACTTATCAAACTCAGGCCGCAGGAAAGCAGCCAGGAGAGAGGAGCAGGGCTGCTGATTGCTGTTGCCTTGGTAAGGGGAATCCACTCAGTTCAGGCTATGTGGTTTCTATGGGAACAGTACTGCTTGCCTTTGCTGGTCCCCAGGGCTGGCAAGATGTACTGAAAGGAAAACTCAGGGGAGACAAAGAGGAGCAGAAAGAGACTGAGAATTTTGAAGGTACACACCCTCAGCCGGATGTGTAGCTGTTCCCAGCCTGTCACGTGGGCCATGTGGCCCTAACAGCCTGATCATGGGAAGCACTTACCTAGAGGCACATGCATTGTCCAGCTGTCTTGAACTAAATAGACTCTAATGTGAGGCAGGCAGGAATTGGCGATAGGCAGATTTCAACCCTGAGACCAGAAAGGAATGTGCCTTTCACCCCATGCCACGCCAACATCCCATCATTGTTATATTTATGAAGAATAGCAATACATAGCCCAGGAAGCATGGCAGGGGGTGTTTCACATACGCTGCACTCTTCCCAGCAAGGATGGGATTCACACACCCATCCTACAGATGAAAGACATGGGTTCTGAGAGGGGAAAGGACAACCCATGAGTGGTATAGGTGGAATCTGAACCAGGGCCTGATTTTCTACTTGGGCCCTTATGCAAAGTCCAGTCAACAACCCAAGGAAAATGTTAGCTTCCGAAAGATGGGCAAGCATCCTAGCTCACACATTAACCAAGAAAATGCCCTGGTTTGTTTGGATTTGGGTGTGAGGAAGCACACTCACGTGGAGGGCAACTGGGATGTCATCAGCACCACCAGCCTGCAGGAGGCACTAGAAGCTCCACCTTGTTTTAAAGAAAGAAACTAAGGCCAAGAAGCACTGGGCAGAGCCTTACAGCCCAGCATGCCACCCTGTCTCCATAGACTTTTCTTGCACAGCTGCAATGGTGAAAACACCATTTCCTCAGCATGTTGGCGGCACCAGAATCTGGGCCGGCCAGGTGGGGAGCTTGCTCAGCCTCGGGGAAGCAAGCTCTGCTGCTGCTGGAAGCTGCTTTCCTGAACCATTGGGTCACCTGGGCAAGGCGGACTTACTCCATCTCCTTGATCAGGGTTCAGGGTCTGCTCCCTTCCGAGTTTTTTGTCCTGCTGACACTTACTAGGTATCTGCTTTGTGCATTAACCATACTCTGTGCTTAGGCTAGAGGGAGCAGTGAGGAGGAACCTCAGGTCATTTTTCAGATGGCCAATAGGCAAACTGAGGCCCTGAGAGATGAATATACATGCCCCCAAAGACCATACCCTGGGAGTACTGGCATTGAGCCCCACATTTACAGATGCCCCATTGAGGACCCTTTCCTTGATCCCAGGCTGACCCCTTCCTGAGGAAGATTAAACACAATCATACCAACTGCTTTAAAACCACCGCAAAGCAACCCTTTGTGAAAACAGCAATGTGTGTATTAATAGAATATGTATATAGCACATAAGTAGGGGCTGATGAGATCAATGATAAGCACTAGAGGCCTCTCCCAAATGAAACTGCTACCCAGTGGGTCCCCAGTGAGGGCTGTTCTTGAGTCACATTCTCTGCAGCAAGGGTCAGCTGGTAATGTCATTCACAAATGAGCCATAGAAGTTTCTAACATGGTAGAATCTATGCTTAATATAAGAACACATACAATGAAGCTAACTATGGTAGAAATCTTAAAATTTTGGCCCTAACAAACTAGATTCAGAATGCAACTCCCAATAGCAGTTTATCTGGACCATTAAACCTAGGCACGGGGCATCCCTTCTTCCACCTTCATCCCACGCCCACTGCTGTGTGCTGACTCCAGTTATGAATGAGCACATTATGGTCTCATGCTTATAATTATAAAGACACCTTGCATCTCTACTCTTCTTCCAGTTCCTACACTTGGAAGATCACAGGGATGGGTACACAGGCTGTAGCAGACACCAGGCATCACCACACCAGACATGTCGATGGCTTCTTCGGGCACCTGTGACTCTGTCCAGGCCCTTCTCTGGTTCCAGGGACTCACTTGACTTTGTCAGTGCAGGGGTGGATAGTAGTTCATATATTTCCTCATTAATACTTTAAGTCACAAGTGACAATCTAAAAATCACTCTAATAATGATGTGATGTAAATATAGTATCATATATAATGGATCATGAAAATGTCTTTTGGAGGCAGAGTCCCAGGGGTTTCCAACACTACTGTAGTTTGTTGCCTTCTTCCTTACCTGAAGGAAACACTACACTCCAGTTAGAGCTATAAAGATGTAATTTTTTCTCATTCAAGTTCTTAAACCCTCTATGGAAACAAGAAATGACAACACCACCCCAGACCCCCCAGCATGGGAAATGCTGTCATCTATACTGAACTGGTTTTCTGTGTCTGTTCTTTAGCCCTGCATGAATTCCCTGATGACATCTTCACCAACGAGGACAGAAGACAGGGAGCAGTGGTTCTCCATGTGCTCTGTGTAAGTGCCCCTCGTGTGGCTTTGCTGGAGGGTCCGGAGGGAAGGCTTGGCCGGTGATGGGTGGACAGTGCTGTGCCCACAGAGGCGTCTTCCCTCCCTCCTGTGCACACACCAGGAGGGGGTCCTCTGAGCCCTGTGGGAGGCAATCTCTAAATGTACCCTCTTTAAGAGGACACAGGTTTGTAAGCTGGCAGGTATCTGTGTGTATTCTTTCCGTGATATCAGTCAGTGCCCATAGCATATGCTCCGAGGTCAAACAGTCTTGTTCTCTGCTATTTAACCTCTCTCTCTCTCTCTCTCTCTCTCTCTCTCTCTCTCTCTCTCTCCAAATGTCACCCTCTTGGGGAACCTTTTCCTAACCAGCCTTTCTAAAATGCCACTGTCGGGGCCGGCCAAGTGGCTCAGTTGGTTAAGAGCTCGCTCAAGAGTTTGAGCTCTGAGCAACAGCGGTTCGATGCCCGGCCTGAACTGAGTTGCCGCTGAGCTGCCAACAGGTGGCAGGATGGCCTAGCTAATAAAAACCAAAAAAAAACTCCAGCAAAAAGCTGTCCAGGGGGCCGGCCAAGTGGCTCAGTTGGTTAAGAGCTCGCTCAAGAGTTTGAGCTCTGAGCAACAGCGGTTCGATGCCCAGCCCTAGCTGAGCTGCCAAAAGGTGGCAGGATGGCTCAGCTAAAAATAAATAAATAAAAATAAATAAAAATAAAATAAAATGCCACTGTCTATTTCCCTTACCTGGCTTCATTTTTCTCCATACCACTGATCACTACCTGACATAGTATTATATAATTATGTGCTTATTGTCATCCCCACCTCACTCATGTGTAATCCCCAGGAGAACAAGGACTTTGTTTTGTACATGGCTTAATTTCCCGACCTACTCCTGGCACATGGCAGGGACAAAGTGTTTGTTGAATTAGTGGATTAAGTGTAATGGCAATTGACATAGCGTCTGGCACATAGTAGGTGATCAATAAAAATTTGTTCTGGCTCTGAATATCCATCACTGCTCTAGCACTTCCTCTGCAGACGCAGTGCATTAAAGGCCTTTGACTTCCCTTGTCCCCATTTGGAGAGTTTAGGGACAGTGTATGTGTGAAGATATATCTCAGGCATGACTGCAGGATCAGAAAGACCCAGGCCAGAGTCTGGACTAGGTATATCACTGTGCTCTCCCGTCTCCATGGCATCCACCCTACCCTGGGGTGCTCTTAATTCCTTCTGGTTATTTATTACTGTGAAACAAATTCTCTAAACTTAGTACCATACCCAATAACCATTTTCTGTTGCTTGTGAGTTCTGTGGGTCAGTAGTTGAGGAGGAGCACAGAGGGAATGCTGTACCACAGGTTCCAGGTCTCAGGTGGGTCAGTTTGGATGGCTGGCAGTGACACTGATGTCTGGGGCTGGAGCTAGTGGTGCTGGAGGACCCCTTCCAAAAGGGCTTTCCACACCCATGACTGGTGTCCAGGCTGGAGTGGCCAAAGGACCAGCTCAGCTGGGACTGTTAACCAACTCACCTCTATGTGGCCGCTCCAGCATGGCTCCGCATAACAGCCCTGGGCTTGGAGAGGGAAGGTTACAATGAACAAGGAGGAAGCCCCATGGCCTTTAATGCTTCGGCCTCAGAAGTCACAGACATCTTTTCCACCAGACTCTATTGCAGTAACAAGCCCCCAGTGACTCAAAGGGAGGGGACACAAGACCTTAATTTTCAATCCACACCTGGAGAAGGTCAGCAGGCACACCCTGGGCTCTGGAGTCAGACCTCACGTGGGGTTGGAGCCCAGTTCTGCTGTCCTTGCTTTGTGTGTGGCTTCTGACAACATATTTAACCTCTCTGGGCCCATAAGCTGCCCTAAGCCTGAGTCTCTTCACAACGATAGCAATCAACTCTTCCAAGTCTTTCCTCACTTACCCAACCCTCCCAGAACCCTCCCCCTGGGGAAAAAAATTTTTTTTTGTTAAGAAAGACATTCTCTAAAAATACCAAATGGCAAAGTAGACTATTTGCAATCTTCCCTGCCCTTTAGGAGAGCGAATGCACAGAGCAATTAGTACAGATGCCAGCTGCCGCCTTCGGCACCAAGCAGGCTCCCGTGTCGCAAGGCTGAGGAGACCCAGGTACTGAGTCAGATCCAGAAGTCCCTGGTAGCCATCAGCACCCTGATGCCCTGACATCTGAGAGATGAGATTTCTACTCTCAGCACAAACAGTGTGAACTCCATCCTCCCAAGGCTGTCCCATCTCCTGCAGCTGGCGGGGCCCTTTCTCTCACCTCCTCTCTCTCACACATCCTCCGACTCCAGCTGAAGGCTGAGTAGGTTGTGTTTACCGTCTCTTCATGAGCCAAGGGTACCTGTAAAGCCTCTGCTCTCTGTGATAGTGCATTCCCGGGGGGGCATGAAGGCAAAACGGACAAAAGTGGATAATCCTCCCCTTAGACACTTCCCTAGAGTGGACAGAAACCTGCAGCTTAGCACTTTGTGACCATTGGTATCCAGTACCACAGTTAGCCCCTTTCCTGGGCCCTGCATTCTAGAAACCACAGGGCAAGGAGTCCCGGGGTCAAGGTAAGCATCCTCCCCTTCAAGACTACGCTCCAGGCATATGGAACTTCAGACTTCTCCAACCAAGCAGCGCATTCTTACTGCCAGGGCCTGTGTAAGCCTTCTACCCAGATCCATCTCTTAGAGGGAAGAGGCCTGGGCAGAGAAGCTTGAACCTCCTGCCTAGGGCATCCACATACATGCCTGTGGTGCAGGCTTAGCTGCGCTCAAACGAAGAGAAGGGCATCTCTTCTGTATGGCAGAGGCGTATGTTAGGATGGACCTGCCAGTGCCCTCCCCAAGGTCAAGGACCATATATTACATTATCCTTTCCACAAGAATATAAGCCCCCCAGTAGAACATGAGCCTCACAAAAACCCCTTTGTACTGTGTCCGGCGCATTGAACAAGAAAAGCTGCACAGTTCAGTGAAGGTCAGTGCAGAAATGAGCGATCCTTTTTATCCCTTTCACTACCATGGTGCCCACCACATTTAGCATGCTCAGGAATTGTTAGGTGAACATCACGGGCTGTAAGAAGAAATGCTGCCAGAGCTAACCTGTGACATTTTGATGGCCAGTGGCATTTTGGTGGCCAGCAGGAAACAGATGAATGGAGGACTTAAAGCTGCAAGGAGCTAAGTACATGTTTCCTGCATTCCTCCATCTAGAGAGCATTTCTGAGCCCCTGCAATATGGGAGCACTGGGCTAGACCCTTCTAGAAGCCTGAGATAGAGTTGCGACCTGCAGGCACCCACTGTCCTGTGGGGAGGGCCACTTATAGACAGCTCCTACCCCCTATAAAATGCTGGCCATGGCCTGTGCTGTGTGCTGTGGAAGTGCAGAGAGGTCACAGTCCAGTGTTGGGAGGTTCAGTTGAGCTGGACTTGCAGAATGGGTAGNTACCACAGTTAGCCCCTTTCCTGGGCCCTGCATTCTAGAAACCACAGGGCAAGGAGTCCCGGGGTCAAGGTAAGCATCCTCCCCTTCAAGACTACGCTCCAGGCATATGGAACTTCAGACTTCTCCAACCAAGCAGCGCATTCTTACTGCCAGGGCCTGTGTAAGCCTTCTACCCAGATCCATCTCTTAGAGGGAAGAGGCCTGGGCAGAGAAGCTTGAACCTCCTGCCTAGGGCATCCACATACATGCCTGTGGTGCAGGCTTAGCTGCGCTCAAACGAAGAGAAGGGCATCTCTTCTGTATGGCAGAGGCGTATGTTAGGATGGACCTGCCAGTGCCCTCCCCAAGGTCAAGGACCATATATTACATTATCCTTTCCACAAGAATATAAGCCCCCCAGTAGAACATGAGCCTCACAAAAACCCCTTTGTACTGTGTCCGGCGCATTGAACAAGAAAAGCTGCACAGTTCAGTGAAGGTCAGTGCAGAAATGAGCGATCCTTTTTATCCCTTTCACTACCATGGTGCCCACCACATTTAGCATGCTCAGGAATTGTTAGGTGAACATCACGGGCTGTAAGAAGAAATGCTGCCAGAGCTAACCTGTGACATTTTGATGGCCAGTGGCATTTTGGTGGCCAGCAGGAAACAGATGAATGGAGGACTTAAAGCTGCAAGGAGCTAAGTACATGTTTCCTGCATTCCTCCATCTAGAGAGCATTTCTGAGCCCCTGCAATATGGGAGCACTGGGCTAGACCCTTCTAGAAGCCTGAGATAGAGTTGCGACCTGCAGGCACCCACTGTCCTGTGGGGAGGGCCACTTATAGACAGCTCCTACCCCCTATAAAATGCTGGCCATGGCCTGTGCTGTGTGCTGTGGAAGTGCAGAGAGGTCACAGTCCAGTGTTGGGAGGTTCAGTTGAGCTGGACTTGCAGAATGGGTAGGCGTTTTCCTAAAAAGGGAGAAAAGCAATTCCAGACTGGAATTGGAAACCCGTGATAAAAAATGTAGAGACTGGAGAGTCCAGGATGTCTGGATTGAGCAGAAGCTAAGGACGTGGAAGGTGTAGAGGGTTGGGGAGGGGGCATCCTCACCTGGGAGGCACCACGAGGTGGCTCAGCTGCCGAGCTGGAAGTGGTGGGAACGTATTCCAAATCGCGCCATCCCTTTTTGCATAAGGTATAGGGTCAGGCATGGCCAGAGGGGAACTAAAGTGATCTGCTCTCCAGTCAGGTGAGAAAGACCCAGGCAGGCCACAGAGAAAGGCTCAGGGCCATTTGGGCAGGGGTTCCAGGTACCCTGAGGAACACCCCAGGCCTGGGGAAGGACATCAAGGAGGGGGTGTGGGGGACTGAACATTATCTAGCTGTCTCTAGGCCCCTGAAGAGCTGTGTCTGCCTCCTTCAGTGAGGGGAGGGTCCCAGAGGTGTATCCCAGGATGCCTCAGGGAGAGGGACATGGGACTGCCCTTTCATGTGATTAACTGGCTGTAATTTCAGATCTCAACCACAGAGCCCAGGCCTTTCAAATCATATTCTGAAACCTGATGAA